AAACTGTAAGAAGGCTCCACTCTGCTTCTAGAGTTAGTTTGTGGTCCAGGATGAAGTGCCTGTGTTCATGGTGACAGGATCAGACAGAACTATGACAGCTCATGCTGGATCCCTTTCGTATAGGAGCATCTGAAGATGCATATGCAGGGCATAACTTAATAGGAGAAGAGCTAGTGTGCAAGTGAGCGTTGCAGTTTTCCCCTTAAGTCGGTATGAAGCTGAACGGTAGGAAATAAAAGCATCTCAGTATCTCTGAGCACTGCCTCTAGTACAGTGTTTTGTGCAAGCAACACTCTGTAGTAAGCATCTGGTTGCCTGCTGCAATTTAAGCTTGCTAGAATAGAAAAGTCTAACCTATTCCAGGGGTCTCTGCTTTGTGAGGTTCTCTGTTATATGGACTTGAACAGCCTTATGTCTCAATGAAAAACGAGACTTTCAGTGGAACTGCATGTTCTCCCAGCAAGTGTAGATCTGCTCCGAGTATGTCTGGGAAAGGGTACTGTACATCTGCAAATGCAAGCATTTGAACTGGTTTATGCAGAGATTTGTTGGAGGTGTAAAAAGTGCAGGTATTTTACTCGGTGAGGTAGAGAACACTAAAACACTCAAGTTCACTTCCAGAGAGCAGTGACACTGGTACGGGAAAGAAGGAAAAGGAAAAGAAGAACAGAAAAGGCAAGGACAAAGAGAATGGTTCTGTGTCTAGCAATGAGACACCTCCACCCCCACCACCGGAGGAGATTACTCCTCCACAGGTTGTGGTAAGTAGAAGAGAAAGTCGGGGGGGGGGGGGGGGGGGGGGGGGGGGGGGATGAGGGTGTGTAGTGTCTTGGTCTCATGAATTTAAATCCCTCATAGACCTTGCTGGTCAACACTGCACCAAAGCCTTAGTATATTACAGACTTTTCTGCTAGAGTGGAAGTATCCCCTCTCCCTCCCCTGTAGCACCAAATGTTACCAGCTCTTCCATAACAGCGTATATGGCCTGAGCTAAGTGACAGCTGCATAACACTAAGTGCTTTTAAGAGGGACCTGGATTGTATCTTACTAATGTAACCCTACAGATGGCTATAAAACTCATAATTACTTCCTAACTCTATCTTCCCGTTCTCAGTCTCCTGTGACTTGCAGATTATGGCATAGCGCTTCCCTTAGAGAAAAGACAACAGTATTTGCCTGTAGAAGTGCGCTCGGATCTGTATCTAGAGATGACATTCAGCTGTTACTAAGCCTGTAGTAACATTGTGTGAGTCCCGTTTTAGGAGGAGGAGGATGATGACGACTGGGGCGAAGACACAACAGAAGAAGCGCAGAGGCGTAGAATGGATGAGATTAGTGACCATGCAAAGAACCTCACACTTAGTGAAGACCTGGAAAGAACAGTGGAAGAGAGAGTCAACATATTATTTGACTTTGTGAAGGTAAATGTTCTCTAGCTCATCACTTGGTAGCTACTCTGCTACAATTCTTTTAAGATACTGTTGGGATTAAAAGCAATTAAAAGGCTTTTGTTTGGGTTGGGGGAACGGGATATACCTCCCCTAGAAGCCCTTCAGCCCTGAAACTTAAAAGGTTCTACCTCAGTACTGTTTCCCCTAGTAGTGGGGAAGGAAACTGCAATAGAGTACTGACACAGACCTCGGTAGCAGTTAAAACATAATTTGCATCTGTTACCATCTTGCAGAAAAAGAAGGAAGAAGGTGTCATTGATACTTCTGACAAAGACATTGTAGCAGAAGCAGAGAGACTGGATGTAAAGGCTATGGGCCCTCTAGTTCTGACCGAAGTCCTCTTTGACGAAAAGATTCGTGAACAGATAAGGAAATACAGACGTCACTTCCTTCGTGTAAGCGTGGGCTCTTGTTCTGTATAACAACTGTTGCTTTGTCTTCTGTAGTGACTACTTGAGTCAATCCTAATCTCTCTGTAGTTTTAGTCTTTACACCACCGCTTTGCTCAGAAGAGAAGGTTCCTCTGGGGAGAAGAAAGCTAACTGGATTTTTTTGTCACTGTTCTAGTTCTGCCACAACAACAAGAAAGCTCAGAGGTACCTTCTCCATGGCTTTGAGTGTGTGGTAGCCATGCATCAGTCTCAGCTTATTTCAAAAATACCACATATTTTGAAGGAAATGTATGACGCAGATCTTCTGGAAGAAGAAGTCATCCTTAGCTGGGCAGAAAAGGTAAGGGGGGTAGCATTTCATGGGCTCTACCTGCCAAATGCCCTCATATAACAGTGTATCTGGCTTACCCGTTCTGGTGGAGGAGGAGCTTCTTGTGCTGATGTCTTAACTCGGGCTAGTTTTTTAAACTGCTGTGTCGGAGAAGCTTGTAGTTAAGAAATGGGTAGTCCAAGGCGGTGGAGTGAGGTTAGACTTCTAGTTAGGATCGTTTGGGAATAATCTGATGTAAATTCCTTCAGCATTTAAGCTAGGTCCCTATGCCCTTCTGTCTTCAGGCCTCAAAGAAATATGTTTCAAAGGAGCTTGCCAAAGAAATTCGTGTCAAAGCAGAACCATTTATTAAATGGCTAAAGGAAGCTGAGGAAGAATCTTCCGGTAATGAAGAAGAAGATGAAGATGAAAACATTGAGGTAGGAAAGGCTCATACCCCATAGACAACGCCAGGGTTCTGTTTCTGTGCACTGAAATCTTGAGGTACTTGGTCTTAATGCAGTGTAGTGTCCTTACTGTATTGCTTTGTGTGTAGGAAGCTGGAGGGAGTTTTCCAGTTCTAATGTCTCTCTTGTCAGAATGTGTAGTGTTCTAGTGCTCTTCCTTCAGGTAAAGAGAGTTGATCTACCCAAGGTCCACCTGTACCTTAACAAAAAAGATCTTGGTAGCCGAAGGACCGCTGTTGTAAAGTAGTACAAACAGACTCCTGCACAGCAGTGGCCTGTATAATGGAGGATGGACAGTAGGTAGTATCCTAAAGCCTTGTGCTTTGAAAAAGTCTGTACGCCCAGTTAGCAAAGCTGATTAAAGGGACAAATGGCTGATTTCTTCCACGTAAGGACTAGGTAAAAGCTGTTTGCTATACTCCAGCTGCCTAGGTGGGCGATTGTGGGCGGTGTGGGCTTGGTTTTTTTTGTTTTGTGTGGGTTTTTACTTATAGTAGGTATTCCCGGCCCTGGTTGTGGCCGACACCGTTTCTTACACCATGCATACTCTCTTTTCCTTCCTTCCCTCTGCTCTAGGCGAATGTTAAGGTGTAGCTGCTGTGAGCACTGAGCAGGCAGGTGTTTGCAACTCCAAATGTTAAGGCAAAACTATGCTAGTACTTCATGGCAGTAGATGCTGTAGTAAAGATGAACGTTTTTGTCTCCACAGGTGGTGTACTCCACAACCGCCAGTGTACCTAAAGTTGAAACTGTGAAGCCTGCAAACAATAAAGATGATGATATTGATATTGATGCCATTTAAAGTGATGCAACATAGCTTCCAGTATAATGATGCAAACTTCTCTGCGTTTTTCTGCCAGAAGTGTGACTTGTATGTGCACAAGCTGAAATGGCTTAACATCCTGCTACTCTTTGTATTCAAATATGTATCTTTTTACTGTGACTGGTCTTGTGTAACTAAGCCTAATATCAAGGAGTCGGCACACCAGTGAACTGATCTAGTTTGCAAATGGCATGTTATGTTTTGTTTTTTCTAACTTGTGTTGGACACATACTTGGAGCACATTTATACAGTTGTGGAAATAAAGGATTTGGTTTTGGTCAATCTTCATTTATGCCTAACTCTAATTTCTTTTGCAAGTAAGCATTTGCACGACTTGATGAGTCTGTCATTTATGCAACTGCTGTTGCGACTGTAGTAGTGACATGACTGGCTGCTATAACAAAATGTCTTGGACTGACAGTGTGCAGAGTGTGAGGCAAAAAAACCCCACACTTTATCTCTTGAATGAGATGCTTTTTAAAAAATTAAACTAGGTATCTAAACTAGCTTTAGAGGGTAAAGTCATTAGCTTGAGTTGACAAGCAGCCTCTGAGTTGAGGGAACAGTTAAGAGCAAAAACCTCATTCTCAAGGTATTGGGTAAGTTTAAAGTGCACAGGCAGCTTTTTTCCTTTAAGAAGCCAGCATATGAATTCTGATAGTTCCAAGATGTTTTTTAACAACTGTTTTACAGTTTTTGGTGTTTTCAGTCCTCCTAGATGAGGAACTGCTGTATGGGTTCACTAGAAATAAGCTAAACCACAGCTGTTTACTTAAGCCCTTGTTCTACTGCTACTCACCCTGAGCACCGCTGTGCGGTGTCAACACAGCAATTTAGCACCCTAACTCTAGCAAGACAGACTGTGGCAGGGGGGGGGGGGGGGGGGGAAGAGGGAAAGATGTGTTCCCTGGTGCTTGTGAGCCCTAGGAGCTGACTTGCAGAGTCCTGAAAGGGACCGTGCAGATGCTCAATGATGACCTTGAGGTACCTATTTAGCTTGGAAATAGAGTGCAGTAAGAAACAAAGCTCTCTATAAGCTGGTTTTGGAAGTGTGGAACTTAAGTAATACTTCAAATGCGAAAGCACAATCCTTAAATTTATCTGGTAGGAAGAAACGGACTGAAGTAACTCGATGAGTAAAAGGTTTTGACCTAGGGAGCGCTAGTAAAAGGTTTGCCTGTCTAAAGGCTTTCTACAGCTAATAGAGCCTGAACGCCCCCGCACGCACTCCCTCACAAGATGTTCTGTGCCTTAGCAGCATGTTTACCCTCATCATAGTGAGGTGGGTTTTTTGGTCTGTTTTTTAGACAATGATAGTGTCTTTCATCGTGAGATTTGGTATTACAGGTTTTGAGAGATCAAGGCTCCAGTATAGAATTAGCTGCTTTTTCTAACTAGGTTGCTTCAGCAGAATTTATGATCAGATGAAATAGAAGACTGATTGCAGTAGTGGTGATTTGAGCTTCAGGTTTTCTTCAAAACAATATGGTGTAGAAAAATTGGTGAAGACAATATGGTGAAGAAAAGAAAAACTGGTGAGACAATATGGTGAGGAAAAGAAAAATTTCCTTTTGTGTCCAAGGTAGTCCTGGAACGATGAAACTCATTTTGCACTGGCAGATCTGGCAAGCAGCGTTAGGAAGACGGGGTGAAGTTACAGTAGATTATGAAATGTTTGGAGGTCATTTTGGTTTGTTGAGGAATTTTTGCTGGAATGTGTTGGGTTTGTCCCCCCTCTCCCAATGTCATTGAAGTCCCGGCTTCCCCCTCCCCCAGAAAACTTGTTTTCCTTTCTATTTATACTAATTTGGTTTTGTATTTCAAAAATATTGTCAATTTTGTACGCTTAGTGGAAGAGATACCTCTTTCTCCTGGGGCAGGTACAGACCTCCACTGTGTAATGGTAATAGTCTCTAGGTGTATCTCCCTGATAGTTACTTAAATTCTCTAGTAGGAGGTGGGTGCTTGTACCTAGAGTGGTTTCCTCGGGTAGGGCTTTGAGTCTCTTTGGCCGTTCTGAGCAGAATTCCTGCTTACAGAGGGAATAACGGAAGTCTCGCACTTGTCCAGGATTGTGTGCTGGCTGTAATGCTGAGAAATACCGAGGCACAGAGTTTTCTCTGTAGCGTGGGCAATACAGTCTTCCAGTTCTTTGAACCGGATTCTTAGCTAGTGTAGATCAGTGTGCTTTACCAAAATGAGTTCATCAGTGCTGATTGTTTGCAGATGTGGCCCTGCAATTCTGTGCTCATACTGTCTCTCAAATGTGATTGGAAGGCTTCTGTTTGAAGCAAGTTTTACATGCTGTTGATTGTCATGTGTCATGATGCTGTGAAGTCTCATTCAGGTGTAGTTGTTTTTTTTTTTTTTTAGAACAAATTGATTGTAATTGTAGGCTGCTGCCAAAAGAGGCAATCTCTTTTTCTGTTATCTTCAGCCATGCGTGTTTGTTCCTTCGCCTGCACTGGATCTAGTGACTATCAACTTACTAGCAAAACAGACCTGCTTGCTCCAGTAAGAAATGAACCCCCCAAAACAACACTTTTCCCATCAGATCAGTGAACTTAAAAAAGTCTTGCAAAGCTGTATGAGGGATGCATGTGGTGGGAGCATGCAGCAAGTGGAAGTGTTCTTTCGTGCTCGCAGGTAGGTCAGATCAAGTGTAGTATAAAGCTGTACCCTAATATTCGGATAGGGAGAAGGGAGGTTCTTGGAACAGAGGCCACCACTAACAGAACACGAAGTTGCTCGCACTGACTTACGCTTCTGTCCCTATTTTCACATATGTACCAATGTTTCCATCTCAGACAGTAAACTGGGGATTCCACCAACTAATCATAAAAATGAGTGTTCATTTTGTTACCTTTTCTTTAGGGAAGGAAGAAGTCTGACTTTTAGAAAGTTTCCTTGAGTCTTTGAATTTATTGCTCCTGCTATCTGATAAAAGTAACAAGTACATCTTCAAAAGGCAACTTGGTATTTAGATGCAATCTGCTTGAAGCTTCAAAGAAACTCCTGGCCCCAGGAAAGGAAACAGTAAGTGTTCTGTGATTTCCCGCACTTCGCATGATGCAGTCTCTGTGTTTAAAAACCTCAGCATGAATGCAATCATTTGGCAGGTGGACAGGTCTAGCAGTAGGTCCATTAGCCTTGACTTCATAAATCTTAATCTCCCTCTGTGAGCCTGCAATCTGGAGCTTTAATGCGGCTTGACAACCTTCATCAGTGTCTTCTCTTCATCCAGCACAACAGGGAGCTTCTCTGCTGACAGGTTTGCTTAGTAGCATCACAGTAGCACAAACAGATGAAAGGAGCCAAGTGTCTTGAACGAGGGTTTGAAATCCTGTTTGTTGTTAAACATGAGAGAAGCAGAATTGCCTGTTATTACTCTTCTCTGTGAGAGCCTAAAATTTTCATGAGAGGTCAGGGCCTTATTCAGCTGAATGGGTAGATAAATATTATATGAAAGGATGCTCTTTGCCCACGAGAGCATACAATCCAGATTTGTCATGAGGCAATGGCTAAAGATAAGGGAAAAATGACTTGAAATGATTGCGGTAGGCACAGTAACATGCTAAACGCTTAATTCAGCCGCTATTGGCTGAATGGCAGAGCTCAGAGGGTTGTGATCAGTGGCGCGGAGTCTAGTTGGAGGCCTGTGGCTAGCGGTGTCCCCCGGGGGTCAGTACTGGGTCCAATATTCTTCAATTTACTCATCAGTGACCTGGATGAGTAAAGGGACAGAGCGCACCCTCAGCAAGTTTGCTGATGATACGAAACTGGGGGGAGTGGCTGATACACCAGGGGGCTGTGCTGCCTTTCAGAGGGACCTGGACAAGCTGAAGAGATGGGTGGAGAGGAACCTCCTGAAGTTCAACCAAGGCAAGTGCAGGGTCCTGCACCTAGGGAGAAATAACCCCCTGCAGCAGTACAGGCTGGGGGCTGACCTGCTGGAAAGTAGCTCTGCGGAGAAGGACCTGGGAGTCCTGGTCAGTCCAAGTTGACCATGAGCCAGCAATGTGCCCTTGTGGCCAAGAAGGCCAGTGGTATCCTGGACTATATGAGGACGAGCATTGCCAGCAGGTCAAGGGAGGTGATCCTCCTCCCCCACGCTCAGCTGTGGTGAGGCCACATCTGGAGTACTGTGTCCACTGCTGGGCTCCCCGGTACAAGAGAGACATGGAGCTCCTGGAGCAAGTCCAGCAAAGAGCTACTACAGTGATTAAGGGACTGGAACATCTCATACGAGGAAAGGCTGAGAGAGCTGGGCCTATTCAGCCTGGAGAAGACCGAGGCGGGGAATCTTATCAATGTGTATAACTATCTGAAGGAAAGGTGTAAAAAGGATGGAGCCAGACTCTTCTCTGTGGTGCCCAGTGACAGGACAAGAGGCAACAGGCACAAACTGAGACACAGGAAGCTCCATCTGAACATGAGGAAAAACTTCTTTGCTGTGAGGGTGACTGAGCACTGGAACAGGTTGCCCAGAGAGGCGATCTCCATCCTTGGAGATAGTCCAAAGCCGTCTGGACGCAATCCTGGGAAATATGCTCTAGAGGAGCCTGCTTGAGCAGGGGAGTTGGACTAGATGATCTCCGGAGGTCCCTTCCAACCTCAACCATTCTGTGATTCTGTAATTTATCCTTGCAGTGAAAGTGGCTGTCCCAACCGCTATAACCGCAATGTGAAGCTCCCATAGAGTCCATCTTTTTGAACAGGGAGCAATTTATTATGCGGGGTCACTTGCATGAGGTATTGCAAATGTAGAGTCCGTCTTCCATCTTACACTGCTCTCCCTCGCCACACACACCCCAGCTTCTTTCATTCAAGGAGATCAGTGTTCTCTGCAGACAGACATTAGGACCCTGGTAAATACCTTTGCCTTTGTTTTGTATATGGCCAAGCAAAAACTAGAGCTGCTGGACGTATTGTGCAAATGCATTCCTGTGTCGTAGTCTTATTTTTATGCATGAGACTATCATTCCTTCCCGTTAAGATCTTTCTTGCTCTTTAGGTTGAGAAGCTCACTAAAAGATCCTAACCTCCAAGCAATGTCAAACAGCTCAGCAGATGCGTCACTGTCTAAATGTGCCATAATTTTTAAAAAAGCTGACTTAGGGGATAAGGCACGACTGGAATACCCCCACAGACTAAGCAAGTTCTTAACCTTGATGTTTGAGAAGAAGAGATATTAGTGAAAAGTAGTTAATATAGTGATCTGTAACAAAGCTGTGCTTTCATTTGTTGGCTGCTACGCAATAATAACAAAGATCACAGCAATTCTGCGC